TTCGGTTTTAAATTTTTACCATACTTATGAATATTTTTTTTTAATACTTGGTGACCACAAAGAACATGACTTTCTGAGTGTCACTATGCAATAAACTGAAAATCCCATATGTGACACTTATGTAATTATACGTAGGGAGTGACGATTTGTCGTCTAACACAAAGCCAAGATAGGTTATAGTATTCTTGGCTCTAATGCTAATTTCATTAAGTTCAACAGAAGCAAGGCGAACTTTCGCTCTATTGTTTCGGAAGATTACAACTTCCGTTTTCTCGGGAGCAATTCTCAGTCCCATTGAAGTCACCAATTTATCGACAGCTTCAAGACCGCGATTGACTGTTGCAACAGCTTTGTCAATATCTGTCTTGCCAGCAGCCACCGTCGTGTCATCGGCGTAACAGAAGACACGACAAGACAGAGGGACCTGTAGCCGCAAGACCTGGTCATACGCCAGGTTCCAAAGAAGAAGACCCAGCACGGATCCCTGTGGGACACCACATGTGATTCTTTTCTTCTTCAGTTCTCCGTAACAATCCATGTATGTTATAAACCTGTCTCTTAGGTAATCCGCAATTATGTACCTAATATATATCGGCAATCTCCATACAAAAGTGGCATCCCGAATTACTGGCCAAGGTAGCGAATTAAAAGCATTCCTTATGTCCAGCGAAACAGCAACACAAACCCCCCTATTTACAGTATAGGGGGAGGAAAAACTTTTTAACGCCATCACCGCATCCGACGTTGACTTTCCTCTGCAAAAGCCAAATTGCCTGGCCGAAAAACCGCCACGTGCATCTACACTAGACACAATTTTACGTGCTATTATCCGCTCGAACATCTTGCCCACGTCGCTTAATAGACAAAGAGGGCGATAAGCTGATGCCAGTCTAGGCTGTTTATCCGCTTTGGGGATCAAGACTAGTCGCGCAATTTTCCAGCAGCTGGGAAAACAGCTTTGCTGTACATACACGTTGAAGCATCTGACCAACCGGTCAGGAACAACAGCCATCATAACCGAGATCACGCTCATAGAAATTCCATCTGGACCAGGTGCTGAACGACGGTTCTTGATGTCTTTCATTGCATCCTTGATCTCATCGATTGTGACGCAGTTTTCTGCATCCTCAATAGGAGGTAGTCCAGGTCGTCCATCCTCCGCATTGTGATGCTTCGGAAAAAGCTCATCGATGATGGCATCCAGCTCTCTCTGTTCAATAGACTCAGTAACTGCTGTTGTCGTACCCTTCAGCCGCTTCATTATCATACGATACGGCCTGCCTCATGGATCTTGGTCAAGGGTCATCAGCAATTCGTTCCATGCTCTTTTCTTTGCCTCAGCAATTGCAGCCTTAAATTTCCGCTGTTTCTGCCGCAGTCCAACTCTCGAGATCTCCGCCTCCACAGTGTTGCCGCACCTACGGAATTTTATCATCCTTCGTCTCAACGCAATGCAGCTCTTACGCATTTTAGCAAGCTCATTGTTCCACCAATAGGTTTGCCGTCTGCAGAGAAGCCTTTTAGCTCGTGGGGCAGCAACATCTCAGGCCTGCACAAGCAACTCTCCAAGTCTACTGGCCGCTTCTTCCGGTTCACACTGTATCGGCTGTGGGCACAACCAGTCCTTTAAGGTTATAGCCGCCCTGAGTAGGTCCCAGTCCATACTCTTATGTGACCATCTGGAAAAACCCACCCGGCTTCTATATCCATTGCCACCATTTCGGGCAAAAGTAGACAGAGCCAAAATGACCACGATGGTAAAGTGATCCGACAAGGATTCTACATCAGCCATCACCCTCCAATTAACGATCCTATCCGTTATATCAACACTACACCACGTAAGATCCACGATAGAGACTCCCTGAAACCGAGAGCACGTGGGAGTAGTGCCAACATTAAGAAGGACAAGGTCTAAGGAAGCAGACCATTCCTCCACAATTTCACCTCGCAGGTTGGGGCGTCCGGATCCCCAGCTAACCAAGGCCGCATTGAAATCCCCCATAACTATAAGAGGGGACGGGCCCGTTCTCCGGATACTGTCCGCTAACCTATCCAGACGGTCCTCGAAGTTAATTCGCGGTTCATTAGAAGGAAGATATGTACTATATACACGAAGTTTATCAATCCTAATTGCCACAAACCCAGGTCCTCTTTCAATGGGGCGAGCTTCCATCCTGCACACCAGTGGATTCCAGTGAATCGCGGCCACACCATCTAAGTCTCCAAACCAGAGTCGTGAATCCGGTACAGAATACGGCTCTGCAATGCACGCCATCGCAGCTCCGGCCTCTATCATGTGTTGGACAAGCAAGTCCTGGGCGGCCCGAGTATGGTTAGCATTGAGTTGTAACACTAACATAACTCCATTGTAGTAAGCTCCTCTCCTGCTGGGCCCCCACCAGCAGTTACAGGTACAGCTAAATTGTCAGTCAACTCAGCAGAAGGCTCCACAGCACCAGCTTTACCCACATCTATTGTACGTCTGCTCGATCGCCCTACAATCGTTTTAGCAGCGCACTTATCAGTACCAACCCTATGATCCGCAATTAGCCCGCGCGAAACGCAAACCGGGCACCGGACGCGATTGTTACAAGTCAAGGCCTTATGACCGGCTTTCCCGCACTTATAACAAAGACTGCTTCTGTCTACAATACTTGGGCATGAGGATCTATCATGCCCAAACTCGAGGCATCGGAAACATTGGAGTTTCCTCCGAGGAAGCAATATAATGCGCGCCGATGTCCAACCCAATCTTACCCTTCCGGCCTTAACAAGAGCCTGTGCCGCATCCATCGGACACTGGATCCATACAGCGCACATACCACTTGCCATCACTTTGATGGAACCAATTTTAATATCCTCCTTATTGCACTTCCCGGTGTCTGCTATCTGGTTGATAATTTCATCCTCGGTTACCGAGTCATCGAAACCGATGACCCGCAACTCGGCTCGCTTCGAGGGAACAGTAATTCGAGCCTCCTGCCCAAGAACTCGCTGCAGTCTCTATCTTGAAGTTTCCGTGCCTTCTCCTTACTTTCTTTGCCAAGAATTTGTATTAACAACCCGCCAGAGATATCCCTTCTGATCCTGGTATCACCCAGATCAAGCTGCTCCAGGCTTACCTCTCGCCGCGCTTTTTTCATTATATCAGCGTAGGACACCTTGCCATCCGGTATTCTTATGGCCACCGCCGACGACCGCGGGGGGCGGATACGGGGTATACCTGGGCCAACCCCAGCAACAGGGGGACTCCGCATAACCAAGGGATCTTTTTTCGGTCTATTACCGCGGGCACGCTGCCTTTTCCTGGGGCCCACAACCGACCACTCCGTATCGCTCTGGGTAGCCGGAATATCAGACCCTCTTTTCCCGTCATCAGAAACAAGACAACGTCTACGACGCCTTCGCCGAGAATAAGACAGTGACTCTTGCCTCTCTTGACCTTTATCCTCTTCCGAGGTAAGGCGGCCCCTCGAGCTCCTCCTAGGCCGCAACAGCTGAGCACCTTTTTTTCCCAGAGCCGGTCTATCCTCCTCAATCCGAGGGAGAGGTCTGTCTACCAAGGAAACCGATGATCCTCGCCGATTGTTTCCCCTCGTGTTTATGTCTTCATAACGAGGAGGTATCGCATTAGACCTGCTTCCAATCGGCAACAACACGGATGAAAATTGCATCACATCCATAGGAGATGTAGCTATGTTCTTCGTTTGCTTGACCATCAATCTAGGCGATTTAAGTCCGGCACCAATCCTGCCGTCATGGACGTCTTGCCTGAACTGTCTGAATTCTTGTTTCAACGCCTCCAGCTGTTCGCGAAGCGTTTTATTTTCCTTCTTAAGCGTTCTAGTTTCTCGGAGTAAGTCTCGGCTTCTCTCATATGTAGATAAGAGGGATCCCCAGTTAATTCGCACCGAGTCGCTAGTTCCGCGGCCGCTAATTTAATTTTATGGACACTAAGTTTAATTGTCCGTGACACCGCCCCATTCAAATTCTTGCTTTTGACCCTAGCATTTTCGATAGCGTCAGCGTTCTCCTCAATCGTAGTAGCGACATTCGCAGCCGATAGATAACGACTGCTATCATAAGCCACAGATTTCGGCGATATGTTGTCATTGGCTTTTCTTTTGTTGCGTAACGTCCCACCAGCAGACCGCGCAGTCACACGCCTAGCCTTAGCGTTGCTTATTTCCCGCCTAACATCAGTCTCGTTCAAGGGAGTCTCAAAGACGTCGTCACTCATATCAAGTACTGCGTCCGGATCTCCGATACCAATCCTTCTCTCCCTTTCTCTCACTGAGTGATCGGAGTCATCCTCAAAAGAGATTCTTCTCACCACTTCCTTCTGAAAACTCCTGAACACGCCGCCACCAGTCCTCCGACTCCACAAGAGCACTAACAGCACTGCTAGTGCTAGCATAGTGGCGTTCAGCGATCGCAAACTCGTCTGCAGCGCTCGCCGTCAACGCTGCAGATGGCCCGTCGCAGGATGTCGACAGAAGAGCAGCCGGGACAATACCGCTGTCCCGCCGTTCCCTGGGGTTCCGAGGCCCCTGGGGTGATCGTCCTATAAACGCCATTTGCTACCATATTTCTTTATCGGGTTTCTTCTCTGGGGTCGCCCTCCCATAGGCCGGCTGTTTTCACCACAACTAACGAGCCCGACCTGCCCGGGTTTGAAATCAGGGTTTTCCTTCCCCTAGTCCAGTGGCCGTCCCGAAAGCGTCTCTCGGAGCTGGACACCCCGGATTTGAAGTCAGGGTTTACTCCCCTAGTCCGATTGCACCATGGCTGACGGGGTCGGACGCCCCGGATTTGTACTCAAGGTTTACTCCCCTATCTCAGTTGCACCGGCAAGAAGTGCTAAGCGAGGCTGGAATCCCCCGGTTTTTGTTCAAGGTTTTCCTTCCTCTATTTCCTCTCTTAGTACAGGAGCTCCGCGAAGGGCCTTCCTGGCATGGGTGACCCTACCAGGGAATCAAAGGATTCCCCGCCAGTATAGCCCCCTCGCTTCACCGCTCCTAAGCCCGGACACCACGACAAGGTAGAGGAAAATCGCCCGGGAACTAACCTAACCTAACCTAACCTAACCTAACCTAACCTTATGTAATTTCTTTTTTTAATGGTTGCGTTTAGCAGAACAAATTGCTTAGCAATCAAACATGACTGACTCTTACTTTTAGAACCAACAAATCAACGTCGAATGTTGATAAGACAATCTAGCAATTGTTCTACTAAACGCGGCTAATGTTTTTGCTCAATAACTCTTCGTGTATAAACGTATCCTCTTCAATGTGATTTATTATGGGAGCTTTGTTCTTCTTCTTTGCTTGAATGGCGCGTTGCCCTTTTGCGAGAGGAACAAAAGTCTATTATAGGAGCCGCGACTTTGATCTAGGAATTGTGTATTCCGAGACAAGGATATATATTCTAATGAATTCGCTTTTATCATTTTCGCTTTGTCTCATAATATATATTAATCTTTTTGCTATGTAAGTCTATTCTTTCTTCTAGTTTATTCTAAAGAATGATATCTCTAATCATGTACTTGGCGGTGTATTTGTGTTAAAAAACTCAGTATACTACTAAATATAGATTATAATTAAAGATACCCTTCTTTCATGTAATTAAAGTGATCGCTGAATGTCGTGATCCCATTCTCCCCTTAAGAGGGTACTGGAGCAAGATCCAAAGTCAGCACTGGGGTCTCTGCCCGGAAAGTGGCGCTCTTAAGTGGTTGAGTTAGTCCGTCCTTCTTTTAAAGTGAGACGACCTAATTGCGCTGTGTCTCGCGTTACCGATCTTTCATCGTACTGCTCGAGCCGGCCAGCACCAAGAGTACCGAAGTGGTGAGGATACACACACAAGCAAGAATCGCCGTCCGTGTGCGCTCGTGGAAAAGTGCAGACATACTATGTTCTGTCTTCTTTCCACTAAGCTGGGCTAAGGCAAGACACGAGGCACGTTCACGTAGCGCGCTTGTTGCGTATGACAGCGTGAAGTGCGTTTTCAAGATTTAGAGTCTTGGAAAAAATACATATTGTGGGGGGTTATCCCACTTTTTGTTATAAGAATTTTAGTATTTTTATTTTATTTTTATTCAAACATATATTTTTATTTAACAATTAAACATTTTTACAACTTTTTTCTTTAAAAGAAATAGAAGGAAGAGTTTTCGTAAATTTTACTGGCCAATGTTCTTGCTCGGGAGATTCAGTCGCCAAGTAGTATTCCTCCGTCTGGAAAACTACGTTGTAACAATAG